TGCATTTAAGTCCTGGCTCTGCCCTTACCATGTGACTTTGAACTAGTTATTTTCCTCTAAAAGCCTGTTTCCTCATCAGTAAAATGGATAAAGAGTTATAATATGTGTAAAGTATGTGTACTACATACTAGCTTGAGTGATGATGCTCGAAATCTTATTTTTCTTTTTCTGATTCAGGGGTCTCACTCTGTTACCCAGGCTGAAGTGCAGTAGCACGATCACGTTTACCACAGCTTTGACCTCCTGGCTTCAGATCATCCATCCACCTTGGCCTCCCTAGTAGCTGGAACTATAGGCATGTGTCACCATGCCCAGATTGTTTTTTGACTTTTTTGTAGAGATGAGGTTGAGCTATGTTGCCTAGGTTGATCTTGAACTCATGGGCTCAAGTAATCTTTCTGCCTCAGAATGTCTGGCACACAGGAAGGGCTCAGTAAGTGGCGAATGTCATCCTACCTCAAACAGGGAAAAGGTAAAGAGGACCTAGGACTGGAATGATGGGGGAGGTGGGTGCTAGCAGAGACACATGAGTCAGCAGGGTGATTTAGGGGATAGGTAGGACAATTTTCCATTTTGGCCACCATGAATATAAAATGTCAACAGGTCATCAAGATAGAGAAGACTGGAATTTAGAGCTGCCATTATTATTTATTAATAGCAAATAAATGTAGGAAAGATAAGTTTAACAAAAGACCTGCAGCTAAAAACAGCTAAAGGGCTGGGCGCAGTAGCTCATGCCTGTAATCCCAGCACTTTGAGAGGTAGAGACGAGAGGACTGCCTCAGTCTGGGCAACTTGGTGGGACTTCCTCTCAACAATCAATCAAAAAATTAGCCAAGCGTGATAGCACGTGACTGTAGTTCCAGCTACTTGGGAGGTTGAGGCAGAAGGATCCCCTGAGCCCAGCAGGTCGAGGCTGCCGATAGCCATGAGCATGTCACTGCATTCCAATCTGGTCTACAGAGTAAGACTCTGACTTAAAAAAAAAAATCATGACGTAATTAAAAATACATTACGTCAGTTTAGACGAATAAAAAAATGAGTATCAAAGGCCACCACACTGGGTCCAAGGGGCATCTCTACTACACAAGGCAACAGGATCCTTTGTGCTGTTGCTGGTCAAGAGAGCGGACCCATTGCTCCTTGACTTCCCAGGGTTTTCCTCAGGCAGACATGAGTAGAAGCCTCCTCCGCTCTTCTTTTGTCAGGGTCTCACTCTGCCACTCAGGCCCAAGTACAGTGGCAGGATCATGGCTCAGGCGACCCTTATGCCTCAGCCTCCTGAGTAGTTGGGACTACAGGCGTCCACCCCCATGCCTACTTTTTTGATTTTTTTTTTGTATAGACTTGGTCTGGCTATGTTGTTAGAACTCCTAGGCTCAAGCCATCCTCTCATCTTGGCCTCTCAAAGTGGTGGAATCACAGGTGTCAGCCACTGCGTTCAGCCCTCCTCTGCTCTTCAGAAGAGCTTGCTTGGATGTCTTGAATCTAGGATCCCAGGAATTGGAATGTGTCATTGGATACTTTTTGAGGTGTGAGTAGGTACAGCAGGGGCTGAGACCTTGCAGCTCAGACTTGCGACGATTAAGTAGCAACAAGATGACAACACGCTCAACCCTAGCCTTTCCTGAGGCAAGTGCGGCTCCAACCCTCATCAATGCTGATAAAACATGCCCAACCTTCCCTGGGTCACACAGTTCCTTCAAAACCATCTTTGCTTTATTTATCAAAGCAATATGCCCTGAACATCCTGACATACATTTTTTAAAATGTCATTTTATTTGCTGGGTTAAAGAAGTTTCCAATTTTAAGAAGGGTTTACATGACTTTTTTTTAAAAAGCGTATCTGAGTTTTAGAAGGAGTAAGACATACAAAACTTGAGTCTGTTGTTGCTGTTTTCAGCCAAATGCTTCATTCTGAAGCAGCAGCTGTTCTTGCTAATTAGGGGCCACTGATGGGCATATAGTGCTTAGACTTTTGCATCCATGCAACCGTTTCTGGGTTGGCCAAGAGACAGCTCATCTTCTGCTGCCTGCGTAATTTTGTCAGCAGAAAGCACGCATGGGTTTCTGGGCAGGAGGTGGCAGAGCTGGCTGGTTTCCACACACCATGAGCCAATTAGCAGCACACTTGGCCAGTGCACAAACACTTCCAGTGGCTTCCATGGGTGTGGAGACATCCTTGCCATGCCTTTTTCCTTCCCTTGAAAAACATGTATCCGGGTTGCCAAAACCCCTTTTACACAGCCACAGTCACTATTTTTGGAGCTTTGTTGGGTCTGAAGACAGAGCCCTGAAAAGGCTTTGCCTGCGCTTTATGCTGCCAGCACTTTCACATGAGATGCTCTTTCGACACCTTGGCAGAGACACCTGCCCTCTCCCCTCCAGAACATGAGGCCACCTATGTGACCAGCAGCAAACCAATTTAATGATATTCAGTCAGTTCACAGACTGGCTGCAAAAATGAACACAGTTCTTTTAAAAAGGAGATATATGTAGTGATAGTCTCATTAGTTTTCTCTATCACGAAAGCTCAGTTTGCACAGCAGGGCTTTTATTCCTCAAATGATAAATATTTCAAATACATCCCTCGACGGAGAAAACAACTTTGATGGTTACAGTCTATAAAGATGGTCTACAGAGATCATTACTAAGAAGCATTGTTGATTAATGAGCTGAAGCTAGAAAGACAAATGGAATGAGATGTGGTTTGGTTAAGCAGTCAAACTAAACAAATGTTTAGGGACAGAGTAAAAAGAGGGACAGAAAGGCTGGGAAGGGGGCCGTTTCTTGCATTCTCTGAACAATAGGATAGGAAGGCGGCAGGGACAAGGACATCAGACTCGGGGGCGGATGTGGCACATAATATTCATGTGAGAGAAAGGTGCAGGAAGGAGAGGGTCTGCTGGCTTTACACCTTTTGGAGATAACTTGGCCTTCTGGAAATCTGACTTGCTTGTTCAGTGGAAGCTCTGTTTCCATGGTGGAAAGACCACAATCTAAGCCAATGGGTCTTAAGTTTTCCCCTTCCCGTCCAATAACAGACTTAAAATTCTCCTACACGAGGCTGGGCGCGGTGGCTCACATTTGTAAACCCAGCACTTTCAGAGGCCACGTTTAAGGCCAAGAGTTCAAGACCAGTCAGAGCAATAAAGTGACACCCCGTCTCTACAAAAAAATAAAATAATCAACAGGGTGTAGTTGTGCATGCCTGTAGTCCTAGCTACTATGGAGGCTGAGGCAGGAGGATTAGTTGAGCCCAGGAGACTGCAGTGAGCTATTATCTATCATACCACTATACTCCAGCCTGAGTGACAAAGGAAGACCCTGTCAATAAAACAAACAAAAAACAAAAATGGAGTTGAAAATACATTTACGAGAAGCATTTATCTGGATTAGCAAGAGACAGAATTCAGTTAACTGCTGAGGCATTTAAAGTGGTCTTCTAGGTCATCTTATCCAACATCACAACCTGCCTATGGTAGAGACAAGAAAGATAATTCCTTACCCTATAAATATGGAGAGCTTTCGAAATAACCTAGGTATGCTAAGGTCAGGAAAAGCCAGCATTGCCAGCACCACAGGGGATCTTGAAAAATAAAGCCACATACCCGCATTTACGGAGCTGAGGGCTGCACGGGCAAGATCAGTCATCCTGGTCCCCTCTGAGGACCTGATGCAGACTTTCAAATCAGTATTTCTTCCCACTGGACCATGCAGCATGTTTCATACTGCAAAAATTATTAGGCAACGAGTTGGAAAATCATGGCAGCAATATGCAAATAACCGTGATTTCCTCTGTGCCTTCCACAGGAATCATGAAACTATCTGGTAGGCATTTTCCATTCCTAATAACCCGCAATGTGTTTAACTTTGTGTTCTGTGGACATAAAGCTCCAAGGAGTAGAATTTCTTAGGTCGAGTTGGTAAAGAGTACCAAGAGAAATAACACGGGCTGATTCTTAGGGATAAAAATCTCCTCTTACCTCTTATTTGAATCTCTCTTGGAATGCAGTAAAATCTTAGCTGCCTATAAAAGTGCACTACGGACATAAAGCAATCATATACAAAGCAGCTGAGCATGAGGTTAGGGATGTCAGAAGCCTGGGTTTGCTTGTTCCTCGTTCATCTCGGCCCAAGACGCTCTGATGCTATCAGCATGAAAATATTAAAAGACGTATATATGTCAAACACACCACTCCTCAGACTAAACTGTGTGCCTCTGCATGGGCGTCTGGGGCGGGAAGGGTCCTCGGGCACAATCCCCACAGAGTCAAAAGGCCATCTTGGATGTGGGCAAACCTCGCTGTACTTGCAGAAGACTTTGATTACAACACATTCAATGGTGAACAGGAGAGCTGCTGACTCTTGAACATATGAGTATATAAAAATCCCTTGCAATTCAGGTAGTCAAGAAAAGCACATACAAGGAAGCAACCCTCGCTTTTCTGAAAACTGTTTTACGTGTGAAAAGGTGACCAGGCATACTTGGAAATTCAAAGCGTAACATGTACATTGCAGGGGGAAAGGAGAAAACCTTTTGTCATGGTATCAGGCAGAAATGTACCTCAATTCACTTGATAAAGTTGGATATCCTCCTTGAATCAGACTAGGACCAAACACCTACTGAAAGGGGACCCTGGGTGGGGACAGGAGACCAGGAGAAAAGGAGCACCAGGTCCCATGCAGCGCTGAACTCGTCTAAGCCACCCTCGAGCACAGAGGAGGCGCCACCCCAAGCCCCAGATGCAGGATGTACCAGAACAGTCCCCAGATGGTGCTGCTCTCACTGTTTGGTGTGTCTGATGGTCTTAATTCAGCATAGGGAGAAAAGCCTTGATCGGTAAATTCAAAACTGTCACTGAATTTAAGCCATAAAGAAGGTTATGGAAGTTCCTGCAACACACACACATATAAGGACTTCCATTTACCTAATCAGAGCTATAATTATACAATGAACATTCCTGCTTTCATAAAGATTTGCTCTCTACACTGGAATGGTTAAAGAAAAAAGCATTGTCTAATTTTTATTTTTATTTTACACTTTCAAAAGATGGAACAGAGAGATAAAGTGGGACTAATGGCCCAAGGCCCAGGCCCAGCAAATACAAAAGCAGACTTTTCTGACTCGAAGTCCATCGAAATTCTGGGGAAGTTTCAGTGCCAAGGGAAGACCAGGGAAACTTGTTACAATCCACCCCACAGAAAGAATTCTACTGCTAACTGATCACAGTGTTCTAGCTAAAGCATAAGTTTAAAACTACAGAGGGTTTCAACTTAACATCTAAATTTCAAAATGTAGCATTTCAGCAACAAATCAGCTCAGGGAGCTCATCTCAAAAGTAGAAGAACAGAATGATTGCTCAGACTTCTGAAAAGCCAAGCTGATGCTCTCAGCTCCTGCTTAGGCAGACACATAGGGGGGCGGTGGCTCCTTGGCAGCGCCATTCCCGGTGGCATCATCGTACGGGGGTAACAGCACCTGAGGAGAAAGAAGGATGCTAAGAGTTAGTGCTTAAAAGTGGACACACATTCCCCAGAGGTTTGGTTTCAGCCAGACTTTTATGCAAAAAAACATTTTCTATAGTCTGGCCCAAGTTCAGTGTCCACAAGCAGACACATTTTGTTGAGAAACTCTTTGAATCCTTAAAAAAGCAAATGGGGAAAGACTCTAAGTCCTCTCTGAGTTTTCCTAACCCTGGATACATGTGCCTGGATGTTCATGGTGCCTTAGGTGGCCGGAGGGCTGTATCTCTAGGAATAAGGAGGAAGCAAGAGTCCTAGGTGAGTGCGTATGTGTGTATGTACAAACAAGGCAGACACACGGCTGACTACAGGAACTGCTCACGATCACGGGGAGACCCCTCAGGTGTAGTGGAAGACCCAAGGGTTTGGTATTAACCTGAACTCAAAAGCTGGCTCTGCCACATTTTATCAGAGCAGGTGGGCAAGTTATTTAACCTGAGTTTCCACATCTGCAAAATATGGATACCTGAGAATCAGAGGGGTATAAAATACCCAACACTCTGCCAGGCACATATCTGAAATGGCTGATGTTATTTGTAAATGTCTGGAGAGGAACAGAAAAGAAACAGCATTAAATTGATGAATAACCACCTTGTTTATATTTCAGCACAAAAATAGCAGCTTGTGGCCAGGCGTGGTGGCTCAAGCCTGTAATCCTAGCACTTTGGGAGGCTGAGGTGAGAGGATTGTCTAAGCCCACGGGTTCGAGAACAGCCTGGGCAACTTGGTAGAACCTCACCTCTATAATAAATCAAAAAATTAGCTGGGCGTGGTAGTACGCACCTGTAGTTCTGGCTACTCGGAAGTTTGAGGCGGAAGGATAGCCTGAGCCCTGCAGGTCGAGGCTGTAGTGGCCATGAGCATGCCACAGCACTCCAGCTTGGGTGACGGAATGAGACTCCAACTCAAAAAAGAAACCCAAACAAAACAGCATCTTGTAATTGTTTATGAATTGTTAACATAAGAAAACACTAGCTAATTTTGGTTTTCTTTTTTTTTTTGAGTTGGAGTCTCACTCTGTCACCTAGACTGGAGTGCAGTGGCTGCTCCCGGCCACCACAGCCTCGCCCTGCTGGGCTCCAGTGATCCTTCCGCCTCAGCCTTCCAAGTAGCTGGAACTACAGGCGCACGCTACCATGCCCAGCTAATTTTTTGATTTATTGTAGAGATGAGGTCTTGCCAAGTTGCCCAGGCGGGTCTCAAACCCACGGGCTCAGGCAATTCACTCACCTCAGCATCCCAAAGCACGGGATTACAGGCTGAGCCACCGAGCCCAGCTTGGCTTTCTTGTAGTAGAAAACAAAACAGAGCATATCAACTCAACATAATTGCCCTTTACTCAGTCAACAAATATTTACTATGCATCTACTAGGTGACAGGCACTGGGATACAAGATAATTAAGATAAAAGACAATTCCTGTCCATTACAAGTTCAGAGAAGATGAAATAAAACCTGGCACACCTAAAGTGATTTGTGGAAAGAGAAAGAATATTCACAAACAAAATTACACTTTGTTAGGTTTTCTGTCAAGGACATCATTTAGAATTAAAGTACTATTCAACAGTTTCAAGAATTTTCATTTATCCATCTTTTCAGTTCCTAGAGAGACAATACTGAAGTTTTCTAAGTTTCTGTTTTTGTCACAGTTCTCTCCCAAGCACCCACACACATATACCCACACAGGCACTCTAACACAACACACTTCATTTCTGCTTCTCTCCTTTTAGTCTTGGGCCTCCCGTGGGGCTGAAGCCCTGAGAATGGACCCAGTGTCTATTTGACAGTAGGACTCAGAAGATTGCAGATTAATGACTGAGGCGCCATCAGGCTGGCCCTGAAGAACCTGTGTGGGTTTGTTCATTCAGTGGGGAAGAGGCGCTGGCCACCTAGGCAGAGGGTGTCTACTGGTTAGGCTCCAATCAGGATACAAGCCACACAGTAATCCAGACAAAGTTTAATAACGATTTACTAACAGAGGACTGAAGAAAATGAGCAATCGACTGGGGGGGGCGCTAGTGGACGCTGGTGTTGAGGGAGGGCACCCACAGTAGAAACAGGCGCATTGAAAGGTCCCCTCCCCAAGGCTGGGAGGAGACACTGTTGGAGGGGGTGAGGCTGAAACTCCTTGGGTGGTAGAGAAGCTTTCTGGCTGAACCAGGCAGTGGCCAGTATGCAAAACACCTGCTGAGATGTTGCTGACCAGTTCACAAGTGAGTGGTTCCCAGGAGGTGCCACTTGCCCCGGAAACCACCTACTGCGGGTGTGTGATAGGGAAGCCTGGCTTGAGGAGGTGCCACCACTGCTGTGAACCTGGGGGCCACTGTCAACAAGATCCACCTGCTCCGCAGGAGCACACAGGAAGCAGGAAGAGAAAACCCCTCCCTCCTCCAGTGCCCCCTACTGACAAGGCTTAACAGGGTCAGCTGGTAAAAAGAAATGACCAGGCTCAGCCCCAAGCAGGCTGGAGACATGGGAGCTGGCAAGTGAGAGGCAGATAAGGGCACAGTAACATAGGCAGCGGCAACGGGCCCTGGCAGCTTCAGGGCCTTGGCTCCCAAAAGAGGTGGTGACCTTGCACCTGCACCCTATGTATTTTAAACTGCAGGCGCTCCCCAAGGCACAGCCTGGGGGCAAATGTTCAATGCATGCTGAAAAGGCAAGGTGTACCAAGATGCACACAGCATGAGGCCAAACGAGGCAGGGACACCCTTCTGGTGCTCTCCCCACAGAAAGAACCAGCCACTCACATCCATCAAGCCAACATAAACTGAGCACCAACTGTCCCCGGCCCCCAGGAGCGGCAGCTTGAACCAGAAAGCACATTCCTGTCTCCTAAGGGCCTTACGGTCTGGTGGAGGCAGAGAGTCCGGCAAAACAGGTCAAAGTCAGCATGATCAGCATGTGAGGATAGACAAGATGTTCACAAACAGAGAAGGACAACCCACTCGGGTTGGGTGGAGGGTCCAAGAAGCCTCTCATAGGATGGCAGGAGACGACCAGGTGTGGGGTAAGGAGGATGACATTCCCAAAGGGAGGTTAACAGGGAGGTTGAAGCAGGGTACTTTCTGGGTCTGCAAGGGGTTTGTTATGGAACCCTTCCGGAAGAATGTTTTGAAGCTGGAGGTGGAAAGACAGAGGAGGGTCAGAGCATGAAGAGAGCCTCCTGGCCCGCCTTGAGGTCCACCCAGGCTCTAACAGCAGCCCCTCCATTACAAATCCTGTCTCAGCCAGAGCTGAGGGGGCAAGAAATGTATCCTCTAAAAACAAGGGCTCTCTTCCCTGCAAATGCACGTCTGACTTTGGGACTGAGCCCCAGCAAACCTGTGGGCACAGGTGTGCCTGTATATGCATGCACACTAGATACAGTAACCTATAACAAGCAGAAACAGCTGTGATCAACACCAGAAATATTATACTTAGCATGACTGTGCTTCAGCACAATGTTCCACCACATTAAACAATTAACTGATTCACATTTATCATTATCTTTGGAGAAATTACCCTAAAACACAGTAGAACTACTTAAAGAGAAGTTAAATCAGCCATCATATTCAACATCTTTTTTCTGAGGAAAATGCAAAACTCAAACCATATTCTCCAAAAATATTCACTGAAGTCCAACAAAATTTTCTTTAAAAGAAAGAATATACATATGCTACAAACTTGCTTTGCCAAAATAAAACTCTTACTTTTTTTTTTTTTTGAGTTGGAGTCTCACTCTGTCGCCCATACTGGACTGCAGTGGCCGCTCCCGGCCACCGCAGCCTCGACCTGCCGGGCTCCAGCGATCCTTCCACCTCAGCCTTCCAAGTAGCTGGAACTATAGGCGCGTGCTACCATGCCCGGCTAATTTTTTGATTTATTGTAGAGATGAGTTCTTACCAAGTTGCCCTGGCGGGTCTCGAACCCGCGGGCTCAGGCAATCCACTCACCTCAGCCTCCCAAAGGCACGGGATTACAGGCTGAGCCACCGAGCCCAGCTAAAACACTTACATCAAATATGATGATCTGTCATTATTTCTTGCTATTCATTTTCAAACTTTTTTAAAGTTCCAATTTAAACCAGTACTTTAACATACTAAGAGCCTTTTCTTTCAAAGGTTCTATTGCCTTCGACCCTTGACTGGAAGGTCAAGATGCCTGGAGGAGAATTTCTCTCACCAAAGTTTCTGATACCCTCCCTTGTTTTCACTTTTCCATCACCACATACTCAAATGCTCACTGCTGACTGTAAAATATTCTTCACATGACCTCTTGACCCCTTTCCACCTGGAATTCATTTTAAATCCTTGTAGGGTCAGCACCTTCTTTTTATCTAAAAGATGCTGATACTGTTGATGATTTAAAGCAGGCATACAGCTCAGGACAGTTAATAATGTGGTGCCACAAAATCTTTTAACATCATGTGTTTTCTGGTATCTATCTTCTTCATGGTCCTGTGCGTAGTTCGTTCCATTTTTGAAGTTCACAATCACTCCTTATTCATGACATCGATTTTTAGCAGCGCATACATTTGTGAGCAGCTGTTTTCAATTAAGAAGCACACGAAGAGCAAAATTCAAACACTTCTGATGAGCACCTTGAGAACGCCCTAAGAATGGCAACCACTTCCATCGAAGCAGACATGGATTACTTTTACAAAAACAAGGTCAAATTTCCCACTGGTTTTATATTTGCAATCTTTATAATAAAAAAAATTGTTTTAAGTCTTATTATGTATATACATTAACTATATTATATAATTTATGTGTGGTCCAAGACAATTTCTCTTTACTGGATGGGGCCCAGGGAAGCCAAAAGGTTCAACACCTTGACCATTTTTTTTTTTTTTGAGTCAGAGTCTCATTCTGTCACCCAGGCTAGAGTGGAGTGGCACATGCACAGCCACCACAGCCTCAACCTGCTGGGCTCAGGGGATCCTTCTGCCTCAGCCTTCCAAGTAGCCGGAACTACAG